CTATATTTATATATTACATTAAGGTTTCATTAGTTAACGTTAATTCATATTTTTACTAACATGAACTTTTAACAATACCTGTACAGCATATATTAATCATAGTTCAACATTTGCTAATGCATTATTGAAATACAAATGATTCATTTATTTTCATTAACACTAACAGAGATGAATAAATACAGCAATAAATTATTTGTTTATTGTTTTGTTAATGTTAGTAAATAAATTAACATTGATACAATCTAGTTGTAATCAGTTAATGATGTATTGTAAAGTGTTATATATCTATAACACAATATATTGTTTTAGCATCGATATCACAATGTGATCGTTCGCAATAGTCACATCTTAGGATATGCAATGTGGAAATTGTACCATTCGTAACATTAATAACGATTAGTTTATTTGATTTATTTTTACGACGAAGACTACGCAGAATTATTCGCATTAAATTATTCAATTACTGTTCCTGAACACTATTAATCTCCTCTGAACTCAATTACACATTGTGTATTTAATTTGTGTCTTTTTCTTTATACCATATTTTTACCATAGATTATAAATATATATTTCTTTATTTCTTTATTTATCTATGCTTGTAGATTGTTTGTTAGAAATTACGCAATCTAAAATGACAAATTATTTAGATGTTCAAGACATCTTTTGAAATTGTATTCATATTCATAACAGCAAAATATCTCAATGCTAGATTTTTCCGAAATCGTGTAGCCCTAATACGGTTAAAATCAGAATTATTAGCCCCCCTTGAATTTCACAGTATGAATTTCACAGTATGTTTCATAATGTTTTTTCTTCTGGAGAAAGTCTGATTTGTTTTATTTCAGCAAGAATAAAAGCAGTTTTTAATTTTTCAAACATCATTTTAAGGTTAATATTATTAGCCCCCTTAAGCTATGATAGTGTCCAACAAAGAAAAATACTTGGTCACACTTTATTTTGATGGTCCGTTTGTTGAATTTAAGTTACATTGCAACTAATTCTCATTAGACTATAAGTAGACTGTTAGGTTGGGGTTAGGGTTAATGTAAGTTGACACGTGCTTGTAAAGTTTCTTATAGTCAGTTAAATGTCGAGCAGTATCAACAGATGTAAGCAAACAGTCTGCTAATACTCAAATGGACCCTCAAAATAAAGTGGTACCAAAACCTTCTTTTCCACATTAAATCATTTTGTTTCATCAAGAACGTGACAAAAATTACTCAGTGCTAGTTTTAAAACTTAGTTAAAGAAATTTGACTTAATTCTGTATTTGAATATTTTCTACACAAACCTGAGTGCAAAATCTGGCAAGAGAACATAATACATTAAAAGGAAATAAACTGTAAGGGCTCATAAAAGCAGAATAGTTGTCAAATAAACAGTACAATGCTGTTTTTACAAATGTTACACTGCCAACCAACCAACCAGTATTTAAACACTTTACAATCTGCCTTTAAAAAAAAACTTTAAAAACTGTGTAAATGTTAATTAATACATTTGTTTGTGTCAGCTCACGGTGCATTAACTAATAATAAACTTCCCACAATCTGTTTACAAAATCTTTTATCACAGCAGTATTTATTACTATTTTGAATGTATAAATAAATAATCTTAAATATAAGAAATTAAATACATAAGATTAATACATAAGATAAATTATAAATATATAAGATTTCTTACCATCTCTTAATTTCAAGAGTGCACAGTTCGCTGCCATTGTTTCGAGGTTGGGGTTAGGGTTAATGTAAGTTGACACGTGCTTGTAAAGTTTCTTATAGTCAGTTAAATGTCGAGCAGTATCAACAGATAGTAAGCAAACAGTCTGCTAATACTAAAATGGACCCTCAAAATAAAGTGGTACCAAAAACTTCTTTTCCACATTAAATCATTTTGTTTCATCAAGAATGTTACAAAAATTACTCAGTGCTAGTTTTAAAACTTAGTTAAAGAAATTTGACTTAATTCTGTATTTGAATATTTTCTACACAAACCTGAGTGCAAAATCTGGCAAGAGAACATAATACATTAAAAGGAAATAAACTGTAAGGGCTCATAAAAGCAGAATAGTTGTCAAATAAACAGTACAATGCTGTTTTTACAAATGTTACACTGCCAACCAACCAACCAGTATTTAAACACTTTACAATCTGCCTTCATTTGTCGGTTTACATTGTCTAATAGCATGAAATAATCACTTAATAAACTGCATTTTTCACAGAACTTTAAAAACTGTGTAAATGTTAATTAATACATTTGTTTGTGTCAGCTCACGGTGCATTAACTAATAATAAACTTCCCACAATCTGTTTACAAAATCTTTTATCACAGCAGTATTTACTACTATTTTGAATGTATAAATAAATAATCTTAAATATAAGAAATTAAATACATAAGATTAATACATAAGATAAATTATGAATATATATGATTTCTTACCATCTCTTGCTTTCAAGAGTGCACAGTTCGCTGCCATTGTTTCGATCTCCATTCCTGCAGCTAAAAATCAGCCAAGAAATGTGCATTAAATACTATTTCTTTTTTACTGATGTTCCTCCTTAGTTCCTAACGTACATTGAATTATTATTGCGCATTTAGTGAGGCGCTTATTATTTGCACTCCGTTCTAGAGGAAATGTACATCCCTGATTGTTTTAACGATAATGTAGATGCTGTCAGAGTGCAGTTTGAGTTACAAATGAGGACTCGACTTTCTTGTTCTGCCTTCAGCTGTTGCGTCGGCCAATCTTGTTTCACCTGTACAGGTGACATAACTCCGGTGTAACTGCAGGAAGAGAAATAAGTCATGTTACTGGGATTTTACCTGCAGACCGGTGTATCTCATTAAGAAGTGACCTGATTCAGATTCTCCCTAAAAAAGACAGACGACAAATTCTATAAAATCTGGCAACTTTTCATGGCTTACTTTAAAGACATGAATTCTGCAAGGAATAGTTCAATTAAAGAAGACTAGACCAATTTAGATTAAAACAGAAGCTCATTATTATTTTATTTATTATTTTTATTTATTTATTATTTTATTTATTTTATTATTTGTTTCCTTTTTGTAATTTTAATTACATTTTATTGTTATTATTTTTAATTTTTTTATTGTATTAATCTTTTATCACTATACTTATGTATTGATTATTTGTATACTGCATGCTTTATTGTTAATTGTGGTGTGCATGTTTGTTGGACCATAGGTTGTTGTGTTCTAATGTCTAAAAAATAATAAAGAAAGTTTAAAAAAAAAAAAAAGTGACCATGTTGTCCCAATACAATTTAGGCTAACTTAATTTTTTCACAAAGTTAAATGGATTGAACTTAAAACAATTGAGTTGTCCCTCGAAAAAACTCAAGAGTTGTTGATTCAGCTCATTTTAAATAAGTATTTTGTACAAGCAGCAAAAATATTTTTGTTTATTGTAAATTGCGATGTAAGATACAAAATAAGCTAGAATATCAGAATCAGAATGAGCTTTTTGCGCCAAGTGTGCGTAATTTTTAGGAGCTCAGTGTACATTCATACCTAAATACAAACATTTCTACATACAAGAACACTGAAGGACATTTAAATAAGTGGAAAATAAAGTTAGATAAAGTATTTGGACGTCATATATGGATGATTTATGTGCAATATTGTTGTTTTTTAAACTGTACAGTAAGAAATAAAACTATTTATATCAAAGTATTTACAATTAAGTGGCTTTATTGGTTATAAAAACCATAAACAGTAAGAGTCCTGTATGTTTATGACCATAAGAAAGGTAGCAACTGATTTTTTACAATTGCTTTGCTACAAATTTCAGAACCCTGATGTCAATGTTCAAAACTCGAGACACAAAACTCACTTCTTTTATATATTTCAACTATATATATATATATATATATATATATATATAATAAAACTATTAAAATACAGTATGTGAAATCCAAATGTAATTTGCACTTGTTGCCATATATCATGTCAGCTTTTCGATAAGGAGACATGCAGTGAGAAACACTTTTGTTAACTTCACTATTCTGTTTTTGTTTTTACAGTAAACCTATGATTGAATGAATACAATTTAGATTTCTAATTTAGTTGATATTATTCCCTCTACACTGTAGAAACCATAATGAAACCTGTAACATATATTTTAAAAAGCAATATTTAAGGATTGTTATTGATAGTTTATTGAAATGATGTGCATCAAGTGTGTCGGTGACCTAAAGTTGTGTTCCTGTAGTATTTGTATGATAAAGGGATTATGTGAACCAATGATCCTGCAAATGCAAGACTTCTCAAAAGAAATGAGCGCAACAATTTTTTTTTAACGCTGGAGAGCCTGCCTTAAAAGTAGTGACTGTTTAGAGTTTTTGTTCATCAGGGTTATGAAATTTGTGGCAAAACTATATATATTTATAAAAAAACTGTAACATTAACATGTAAATGGCGCCACCGTCTGCTTTATTAATGTTGAACACGTAAAGAGAAACATTATTTATATATACAGTATATTTACACAAACATACGGAGTAGATATTGATGTCTAGATGATGTTGGTCTAATAATGAGTAATATATCTGTCCTGTTAATACCGAATGTGACAATAAAAACCGTGACGTATTAAAATAATAAACGTTTCTTTCCTTGAAAGTTTTACTGAAGCAAAATCTGAGCAGTTTGTTTACATGACGTCAGTGTAAGATATGTATTACGTACCAGATATAAACTAGTTTCCCTCAGTATGTTTTCAGTGAAAAAGTACACCTTAACTTCCAAACAATTTGATATTCATATTTTAATATAATATATTAAACACTCAGGTAATTAAACCTATTGAAATACATAGTATGTCGACGTCAACCAGCTCTCTCTTCTCAGCCAATCCCGTGCCGAGCTCACTGTGCGGTTAGAACGCGCCAGCCAATTAGAGTGAACGTGGGGGAACGCTCTAACGCCATTGGTCCTCACTGTCAATCCGGGCTCCGTCGTAAAGCCAGTTTAGTAGCCGAAAGGTACCAAGATGGCGGAGGTAAGTTGGAAAATAGGGGGAAGGCGTCATATTTTGATCGTTGATTTTGCTTCCCACAGGATATTAATTTGGGATTTCTTGATTTGATAATATATAATAAGGTCTTATCTTCGCATAGAGGCCGCGTTTGTCGATATACGAGTGGTTTTGGCCGTCAAAATGAGTATTTGAAACGTCGATGGGGCCTCTTTTAGCGTCGAGTGTTCGGGTCGGGCGTCCGTATTTGGCGTCAGATCTGACTGAACGAAGCCGTCGTGGTCAGATAAAAAATGAGAGGCTATTTTATTTAATTTTGCTCTAATTGCGTGTTGTCACTTCAAATTTATTCTCGAATTTTCGGATTAATACTTTTGTTTTGATTTTAGAGAGACTAATTGCGTTTTTTTCAATTGCTGATGTGCCGGATTGATGCTATAAAGTGACGACTTCAAATAATTTATTTGTCTTCTGTTTTAAAATAAAATAAATTTATTTTTTTACAACACCACATGGCTGTGTTTTGATTGAGTCAATTAGATCTTCTGAATAAATGACGATCAGTGCTTTGGCTTGTTCGTGACCTTAACAAACTCATATTCTTTGTACATTTATCGTATTTAATTAAATCAGTTAGTGTTATTGTTGTTTATATATGAATTTCTGTTTTGTTTTTTTATACTTACGAGCTATAATTATATTTTGGTATTTTTCTAGCGAGCATTATTAAAGTTTTATTAAATCGATGGTAATATTTTTATTAGCTGACGCAGTCATTAGATCTTAACAAAATGACAGAAAATTACATGCATATTTTTTGTAGTAATTTATTTATTCATTTATTTTTATCAGTGATGTTTCGTTTGGAATCGTGGTTAATGTTTACTATAGAAACATTTCATTAAAGGAATAGTTCACCCCAAATTTTCGCTTTATACACTGTTTCCTCAAGTGGTAATAAACCCTTGATATTCTTTCTTTTGTTGAACATTAGATTATATTTTTTGAAGAAAGCTGAAAACCTGTAACTATTGACATCCATAGTAGTCTATGGAAGTCAATGGTTGCAGGTTTTAATCTTCACAAACTTCTGTTGCATTCACAATTGAGAAATTGAATCAGATTGGGAACAAGTAAAGGGAGAGTAAATGATATTTCATTTCTGGGTGAACTATCCCATTATGCGAAGTTCATAATGTAGTAAATTCCCAAACCTCACCTGTGTTTTTGTTTTATAATTTCAGGCTTCCTTGGGAAGTACGAGCCCAGGTATTTTATCTTCTAAATCTATTAATAATGTCAGATATTGGCAATCATTTATTCTATGTAAGCATTCATATGTTTTACCTATCGAAATAAATGTATTAATTAGAAACATTTGTTCTGATTGTGCTAATAAAGTACATTTTTATCACTTTATAAGAAATACACACAATGTAACCACTTAAGCATTACCAAATAGTGAAATCATTATCTGTTAAGCACTAACTCTATGTTAATAAACGTTAGTAAGCATTTTATAAATACACCTACAAATGCTGTATTTTTGGCTTATAAGCACAAATATAATGTGCTTAATAATTGTGTCTTCATACTTTTTTGCTTAATAATTGTTCATTGCTAAATTCGGTAATGCATTATTTACTAAACATTTGTATTTAGGAATTTGTATTTATGCTTCATAAATCCCTTATGAGTGACAGTTAAAGTCTCAGTATCAAATGAACAATAAATGTTTGCAATCTTATCTAAAAAATAAAATTACTGTCAACATTAAACATTGCCGAATAACAGGAGTGTCGAAATAGAAATAAATACACTTAAATAAAATTGGATTAGACAATTTTATTATATCTTTTTATTATATTATTATAAATTATTTTTTGTTATTATTATTATTATTATTATTATAAAACAACAACTATATAATAGTTTAACAATATATTATGATATAGCATTTCAAATTTATTCATGGATGTTTAAACTACGATCATTTAATTTTACCTAAGATTGCAAATATTTATTTTTCATTTGATGTAAAGTTTCATTTGTGTATCTTCAAATGAATAGAAATTAATAAAGTCTTTTTTTTTTTTTTTTTTAACACAAATAGTCCTCACTTTAGGTTACGAAACTGGATGAAGTTGACTTTTAATAATAAGCATTTAATAACATATTAATTATATTAATTTTAATAACATATTAACTATTAATATATGCCTGAAAAATAAGATATATAAATGTTAATTTGAATAGTTTATTAATCATTAACTTATTCTGAATGATCTTAAAAAACACTAATTATTCTTAAACAACTAATTTGTAAATTAATGCAATACTTAATGAATTAAATTATAATTTAAGAATTTTTATAAATGTGCTTTTAAATTAAGAATACAGTATTTGTGGCTGAATTTATAAACTGCTTACTAACATCTTTTAATGTAGAGTTGATGCTTAACGTTTGATAATGCTTAATAAATGATTTATAGTGTGTAAATAGTTTTTTATGTAATAATATTTAACATTTGTGTTTTAATTTGATGTTTTCAGTTGACTCTTTGTCATCGGAAGATCATGATTTTGACCCGACGGCAGACATGCTGGTACACGATTACGATGATGAGCGTACGTTAGAGGAAGAGGAGATGCGAGAGGGCGAGTCGAACGGCAGCTCCGAAATCGCAGATCTGGAGAAGGTTTGCTGTTTTCTTTCCTTCTTCTTTTAAGCCACTGCTGATAAGATTGTGCATCTGAACAATATAATGTTTTAGCATTGATATTGCAATGTGTGTATCTGCAATGGTCACATCGCAGGATTGGATTTTTTATTAATTATTAAAGGATAAAGATATTATTTTAACAATGATGATCATGTTATTCATGTACTTGGATGCTGTTAGACTTCCCAGAAAACCATAAAGCAATTTTTATTTAACTGTTTAGTTTTGCTCTGTCGTATTAATATATGCTTGTAATTTATAATACACTCACCGGCCACTTTATTAGGTACACCTCTGGCATCAACAAGGCATTTGCGCCCATAGACCTGCCCCACTCTGGATATTTTCTCTTTTTCGAACCATTCTCTGTAAACCCTAGAGATGGTTGTGCGTGAAAATCCCAGTAGATCAGCAGTTTCTGAAATACTCAGAGCAGTCCGTCTGGCACCAACAACCATGCCACGTTCAAAGAAATCCCCTTTCTTCCCCATTCTAATGCTCGCTTTGAACTGCAGCAGATCGTCTTGACCATGTCTACATGCCGAAATGCATTGAGTTGCTGCCATGTGATTGGCTGATTAGAAATTTGCGTTAACAAGCAGTTGGACAGTTGTACCTAATAAAGTGGCCAGTGAGTATATGTTATGCAGATGCACTGCCACGAAAAAGACTTGATCATCTAAGTTGATCTAAATGAATTAAATATTCCTCAATAAAGCTATTCAGATCATCTGGTGAAATTTGCAATATATCAAAGCAAAACAAAATATAGCAATTTTAGACTTCCAATATTGCGCAATCCTAACCTGTATGTTCTTAAGTATTTTAAGTGACAAGCTGTTGAGTCTCAAGCTAACCCCTGTGTCTCAGGAGGGGAACATGCCTCTGGAGGAGCTGTTGGCGTTGTACAGATATGAAGCTGGAGACAGCGTTATTGGAGGGTCGAGTACAGACAGCTCGTCTGTTGAGCTGACCGATGAGCTGCCGGACATGACGTTAGATAAAGTAAGTTACTAAAGCAGCTGTAATTGCATGTTTAGATTTTTCTTTTCATTTATTCATTGTTGGGTTTATTTATGACTTATTCAAATAAATAAAATGAGGTGTTAGTAGCAATGGTGTATTGCCATAGTTGGCAATCAGTTATAT